CCCACCCCTCTTACCTCCTCTCTTCTGCTTATACTTTTTAACCCCATCCCCCAGCCCTTCATCCTTCCTATTTTCCGCTTCCACATTTTTTACATCCCCATCCCTTTCCTTCCTCTATTTTCCGAAAACAGGAGAGCTCTGAAACGCCAGGGAAAAAGGGTGAGCGTTATTGTGACGTTCCCAGTGTTGCTTTACGATGCACAGCCCTGCGAGAGCGACCAGGCACAATGGGTGGCCACTCACTTCCAATTAGATGCTCGCTTCCATTTCCACCCTAACCGACATTGGATCCAGATGAAAAGTGGTAGAGAAATTTAGCTAGCTGCTTTTTGTCCCATTTTAGCGCAGGGGAAGAAAATATGAATTCTTGCAGTGCACATTTATTCTTGCAGACAGAGAGATTTTCTACAACGTGGAGGTAAATGTGAACAAGGAGAGGAAAATATGTTTTATTTATTTTCGTTAGAGTTCCCTTCAGCGAGGTCCGCTGTGCATACGCATACAAACAAACTCTGCTCTTGCAGAATAACATATCGTTACGTCTGCATCCACCAACATTAAATGAAAAGACCCCCCCCCCTCCCCACACACACACACAACAACAGCAACAACAAGTGTGGTTGAATACTGAGTGCTCAGTTGTGGTTTGGTTAGCTCCTTCTTTCCTATCAAACTTCTATCGTCCGTATCTCTCCCTCTTTTTTTATTTGCACGTTGCGCTCTAGTAAAACTTCTAATCTTCGGCATTTATGTGACCTAAATTATGTACATGTGCTGCAAGCGCCATAGATTTCTTACTAAAACATAGAACAACACCACCACCAACAACAACAACAAACAACGACAACAACACCAACAACACAAGCACTTTTTTTCAGAATTCCAATACAAACTAATATAAGATTCATTTCAACATTACCTCTTTCACACTGTTGACAGAGGCGGTAGTGGGCGAGATGTTGGTGATGGAGATGCACTGGTTGGAATTCCCGTGAAGCCAGCGAGACTGATTCGGGTCATCTGAATTAGGGCAACTACCCCGGAGCGCACATCTGGGAGGAGAATGATACGACATAATTAATGTTCATGAATGAGAATCCAAAACATGAACAGGTCTTAAAAGGTAGAACATGATGATCATTCATAACAGAACACAAACTGAACGCAAACAAATAGAAAAGCACGAATGAAGAATGTATAGTGGGCTTGGGTGTGCATTACTGACAGATACTTCTGTGTATGTCCTTGCATTCTGGGAAACGTGAAAGAAAAGATACGAGAGAGGGTGTGTGTGTGTGTGTGTGTGTGTGTGTGTGAGAGAGAGAGAGAGAGAGAGAGAGAGAGAGAGAGAGAGAGAGAGAGAGAGACAGACAGACAGACAGACAGACAGAGAGAGAAAGAAAGAAAAAAGAGATAAAGACAGAGAGAGACAGAGAGACAGAGAGAGAGAAAGAAAAAAAGATAGTGACAGAGAGAGACAGACAGAGAGAGAGACAGAGAGAGACAGAGAGAGACAGAGAGAGACAGAGAGAGAGAGGAGGGGGGAAGAGAGAAAACGAAACAGATAGATAGATAGACAGATAGAGAGAGAGAGAGAGAGAG